CGCGGCAAGGGAGAGGAGCGACGTCGGATTTCGAGTGAGTGGGTTTGAGTGTGCGCAGAGATTGTGTAAATTGACCCCAGGTGGCTAAGCGCCAGCCGCGAATCATGCCCCGAGGGGTCGCGGCGAAGGGGGGGGGAGTTGGTAAGCAGTAACCCTCCCCAGGACACGGAAGAGGGGAGCAGCGGATCCCACGTGAGTGAGGAGCTGGGGGGCAGCCTCCCCGACATAAGACCCCGTCAATTATGTAATTCCCTATACCGGTGGTTCTCAACTGCAGGCAAGGGTGGATGTTTTTTTTCGAATTCGAAAACAAAAACTGGCTTTTCTTAATAACTTTAGTTGCCAGCCCCCTGGATTTGGCAGAAAATAAGGGAGGAATGGAAGCAGGTTCTGATTAAACTGCGTCTATTTCGTTTTTGTCCCCCTTCAGTTATTCTTTAAAACATATAGTTTGACTGTTGTACATTTTGTCATCACCAGTGCAACCCCATCCCTTTGGCATATTTAATCGATTACGTTGAAGATTTAAGGTATTTTTTCTGTTGCATCATTGTTTTATACCGGATGCCCGTAAGGGGTAAGCCAAAGACCCGCATGTGGCTCCGTAGCCGTAGGTTGACGACCCTTGGTTTAGGTGTCAGGGGTTTTCATCCCGTTTTTTTGCTACTGTACCCCCCTTTGTTGAATTTAGTTTTGCCCGACCCACATGGTTCTGAGAAATAAACGTTTTAAATTCATGAACGACAATATTTTTTTTACCAACTGTCCATTCTGTGAACGTTACAACATGGCTACCCATAACTCCGTCAGAAATTTGTCTCTGCCTGTCCCAAGCCAGTGCGGGGGGCTACTGCCCCCCGCCTCCCCGTTCTCCCGCTCTCCCCCCTTCGCTGCTGCTCCTCGGAGCATGATTTAACTGGCTGCACTAACCACTTTACAATCACGGTGAGCTACGCAGGCTCACGGTTTAACGTGCAGCGACAAGCGTACACACGCGGGCAAAATTACATGGCTGAGGGTAAACACAGAAACCACGGCGCCAGGAGTGAACCCCCGTCTCGTGCGCTAACAAAAGGAATCACAGCGTGCAGGCTCGCCACACCACGCACCGCCCCTTCGCACTCACAGAGACAACACGACACGGTTTATGCCCTGCGGACGATTTATTCCCCACGAATAAACGAACTAGACTGTGCGTGTCGGTACGGACCAGCAGGACAGGTCTAACCTATCCCTCTACTGCCCGATACTTAATCGACCTGTCTGCCCTCTATATTCTCTCCGCATTTTCGCCCCTTTGTCTTACCTCTCTCCCTCGTACTTACGGTCCGACCTCGCAGCGATGGAGGTCGCGGAAAGATGATGCTGTAAACAGAATCTGGCTGTTCTCTGCCCCGTCTCACGGACGTGCGAGTAACAGTGAGGTGATGGCTCCTCGATCCCTCCCTCCTGTTGATCTCCAGTCAAAAGTGCTTCCCCAAAGCGTCCCTTTTTATGCTCCTTTCAAAGCCCTCGCGCCGCCAATCCGCGGTGCATCACGGGTAGAGCCGTTATTCCGCGGTGCATCATGGGTAGAGCCGTTAATCCGCGGTGCATCATGGGTAGAGACGCTTAACCCACGCCGGACATCTCTTCACTGCGGTTCTCAGTGAGTTCGCCGTGGTCATTCAATTCTAAGTTAAGCCACGGCGCCGCAGTGCCATTTGGCCGGGGGGGGGGGGGGTGAGCTGCCAATTCCCTGACCCTGAGAAACCGTGGAGCACCCCCACGAGGGGGCCTCTCGGGTAAAAACTCAGGGCGGGTGCCCCCCTCCCCACGAGGCCCTACGTCAGTGTGCGTGTGTGTTTATGTGGCGGGGGAAGTGCTGTGACGGGAGCCGGGTGGCGTCTCGGTCGCAGCAGCACAGCGACGGCCCCGGTTTCGACGGAGCGGCTTCGCTGTTGTGGCACCACAACAGGATGAAAGGAGGAGGGTTGGCGTCTGGTGGCAACCGGCCTTAAAAGCCTCAAGCCAAAACGTGGAAAGTCCTTGCAAACAAATGCCCCTCAGTCCCCCGCAGCCTTTAAGTGTGCGAAGGAAGAGTCGTGGGACCCAATGACTTTGCCGTTGCAGGGAGTGCAGACCCCGGTGGTGGTAGTATGTTGTCTGCACATATCAAGAGAGGTGGGGCGATGTGGTGCGATCGGACATGGTGGCCCGAGGAGCAGAGTGATGGCACAGGACAGGACAGCGGACCCCACATGAGTGGGACAAACGCGTGGAAGAAGAAAACAACAAGACCACCCATCTGATTGGCTCATCCTTTACCAACATGGCTACTCATCCTATTGGTTCATCCCTTACCAATATGACTACTCATCCGATTGGCTCATCCCTTACCAACATGGCTACTCATCCGATTGGCTCATTCCTTACCAACATGGCTACTCATCTGATTGGCTCATCCCTTACCAACATGGCTACTCATCCGATTGGCTCATTCCTTACCAACATGGCTACTCATCTGATTGGCTCATCCCTTACCAACATGACTACTCATCTAATTGGCTCACCCCTTACCAACATTACTCATCCGATTGGCTCATACCTTACCAACATGTCTACTTATCCGATTGGCTCTTCCCTTACCAACATGGGTACTCATCCGATTGGCTCACCCCTTACCAACATGGCTACTCATCCGATTGGCTCATCCCTTACCAACAGGGCTACCCATCCGATAGCCTGAACTTCACGGCCCTGACCCTTTTCACCAAGCCGCCTTAACTATGGACGCGGACATTTAGAGGAGCATTCGGTAACTCAATAAGTTCGTGTATATTTACACAGCAATTTTAAAGCATCATAAAGTGATATATAACCGTAAAAAAGTAATTAAATTAAATATATTTTATTGGTACCTTCATCGTGCGCGTAATTTAGATTAATTTAAGCTAAAGTTTAATGACACATCCCCTACCATATTCACCCTCAATGGTTCGTTCCACATCACGTGGTACCGTTTAACCAATACCGTGTCCGCAATGTTCGTCATTGGAGGTTACCGGTGCCGAATTCACCCACGTGTTAATACAGTAGTGGGTTCCTGCGTGGTACAGTTTGTGTGCACCTAGCTTGGCACGAAGCGCCATTTGCAGGTGAATGGCGGCTGTTGTTTTTTTAATTGTTGTTGAATAGACTAAGCCTTAATGTGTGGGTGCCTGGTGCGGTGTATAAACTTCACTGGGCGAGACAGAGGCTGCCGAACGTGGCGCTATTAGCCACCCATCTCCTCGTGTACTGTTTGTTAGCATGCATAGGTGCTCGTTAACAGCACTTTCCCTGACAGTCTGCTATGGCTATATAGGGGATATTTGTCTTCATGTATACTTATAAGCATTCATATGTACATGTGTACTGTCCGTATGATCATTGGTGCAATGCAATGTTTTGAACCAATGCTGTTGAAATGATGCGCTCCCATAACGCCTATGTTTGGCGGAAAGTGTAAAATATATTTGCTGTCCGCAGGGACGTTTATACGAAGGATATGCAGTATATCGTCTGCTTATTTATTTATTGGCGAGATGTATCTCCCTAGCCTGGCGGTCGTGGGTTCGATCCCGACCTTGACAGCTGCTGCTGCTGTATATTTGGCAGTTTGCGTGTGTTACAGCGGACAAGTTACTTGGCTGCTATTATGGGGCCGTCCATAAATGACGTCACGCACCGAGGGGGGAGGGCAGACATGACGATGTGTGACGAGGGGGGAAGGGGGGGGGAGAAATGTGACGTCACATCAAAATGCGCAACTTTAAATACATGTTAATGAAATAGAATTGTTATAACAACACACATTTTGATTCATTTTCATTATTAACTATTTGATTATTAAAATTTACTAAGGTCACCTTTTATTTATTCCATGAAGGAGCATTTTGCTTCGCCATGGGAGAATGGAGAAGCATACATTCTGTAAATTTCTTGAATGATTGTTATTAAACATTTTGATTCGAATGATTCTTCCAGGGCTTTTCATTATGTGGAATGAAAATTGATTGTTTTAATTGTACTCTCCATTTTGCTTCGTTTCTACTACAAAGTTTCGCGTATTTTTTGTTATAGTTATAATTATTTTTTATATTTTATAATTATAAGATAATTTCAATATAATATTCTGAACATCTGCAGTTTTAGTTATGGTAAATTTGAGCTTTCCACCACCTCCTTTTTAATAAATGTTTTCTCCTACAACATCAGAGTGCAGCGCCACATTAAATACGCACTACAATGACAATAGCTTAAAGCGATTTGAAGCATGTTTTATTTTCAAAATGGAAATATATTTTTTTGGGGGGGGGAGGGAAAGCTTTGTGACGTCATATTTGAGGCGGGGGGGGGGGTCTGACTTTTTGTGACGCCGTGTGACGAGAGGGGGAAGGGGGGTCAACAATTGGCCAAAATCGCGTGACGTCATTTATGGAAGGCCCTTTATACATTTCCACGTGATAAGCCACTTTGGCTATCATTTGTCGCTTCTGAATTAGCTATACAGCTCAGTGGGCCTTACCTGGTAAAATACAAATATTGTTTTATATTTTTATTATTTTATTGTTTCCCTTCTACGTGACTTTACCGAAAGAACCAAGAATATGAATCCCTGCAGTCACGAAAGATTTAAATAAAAAAATACAAATAGTTAAAATAGTTACATTCTCCACAACGACACTAATGATTATTTTGTATATATGTAGTGGACATGTTCACGTGTGTGTGTGCATTTATGGAGAGTGGTAGTGTAGTGGTTGGTGTGCTGCACTACGAACCCGGCGAGCTGAGTTCGATTCTCACTCACGGTCAACACCAGTGACGATTATCTGAACCGGTCCTGGGCCCTCCCCTAGGGCGACTCAGCCTCACATGAGTGCCTAGTGCGGTGTGTAAATTTCGCCACGAGGGAGACAAAGGCGGCCGGGCGTGGTACTGGCCACTCACCCCCTTCATGCGCTGTCCAGGCCTTCAGAGGTGCTCGCTAACAGCACTTGCCCCAACAGTCTGCTAAGGCTATACAGGGGCATTTTTGTTTCGTGGTACAGTATACGGTGGATCCTGGCAACGTGGTTGAGATGGAAGGGTTTTATCTGCTGTGGTGTCTCCTCAACATGTTGAGATGGTGAACGAAGCGAACGATTCGGATGCCTTCTGGGACCATCTCTGTAAAATTCTGGCTGCAAGTGACCCCTGTGGACAGTCATCTTGGGTGGCGTTAGTATCCGAGTGGGTCAGGACACTAGCCATTGGGAATAAGTGATTGGAAGGCATTGGCAGAGCCGTTTAGCAAGGCTAGACTTTTGTGCAGCCCACGGGCTCATACCTGTCAACCCATACGGTTTACCCGTATTTTTGTACAGGGAAATATAATTTTTCAGGTCCACACGGTGTACAGCCATTTAAATGTGGGCACATTTTTTTGTCTGTGTTTTTTCCTTGTGATGGGACTTTGTAGGATGAACTTTGAGATCTATAAGGGGCACGGGATGACCAACAAGGTCTGAATTGGTCTGTGATAAGGTAGGCACTGATAAGGGGTTGACAGCTATATGTGCATGATTGTCAAATCGCTATCCGTAGCGCTAACGTTTAAAAATAAATAAATACGAACCACCACCACTTTCAAATGTTTCTTGCCGTTGGTTTTCACATCTGATGATGACTGTGTTACAGTGGAAACGTCGTGAGAATTTTATTGTTTTATATATATTTTATTATTTTATTGTTTCCCTTCAACGTGACTTTACCGAAAGAACCAAGAATATGAATCACTGCAGTCACGAAAGCTTTAAATCACAATTTAAAAGCTATAGAGGCGTATAGTTTACAGCACACTGTTGCACCACAGGCACGTGCTCACGATCTTTTGAGTGTACTTCCAGACAAAAGTTGGGCTATCTTTGGATATTGATGGGTTGATTTTTTTGCCACCTATAACATTCAATGTCCAAGAATGAGGTGGCTTTACCACAGTTTTCTCTAAGAGGTTTGGAAAGCCACTTGGCGCTGTCGGGATGAGTGCTGGTTCTGAGTTGCTGAGGAGAAATGCCTTCAGCAGCCTTTGCGATCCCTAATGAAAAAAATCTTGCTTTGCCACCCCTATTGCGTTAGGGCAATAATGTCAGTCTAGTCTTCCACCTCCAGAATCAGGTCTGCAGAATTTTCTCACCATTTCCGTGGGACATTGGCAGAGGACGAACACCTCGGCGCAAACAACATACCGCAAAAGGAGCCCAACCCTACGGTGGCTGCGCAGCCTCGAATGTTGGAGGAAGTGCCCCCTATTATAGTGGCAGACCAATGTGCCATCTTCAGAAGAGGCACATGAAGCCCATTCTCTGTATTGTTCCACGTGTGGGTGCCCATTTGCTGCAGGCTGCCTTAACATGACCACAGGAAGGGTCTTGCAGGATCAGAAGAATGCAACTGCACTGGTTGTAACTCCTACGTACGGGCATGTACATGTGCATGATTGTTTGCATAGGTACGTATATATATATAAGTTGAGCTAAAATTCCAAGTAGTTTCTGCATTTGTAAAGGAACCGTTGGTAAGCAAGCATTTTCCCTTGAAAATTTGCCTTTACGAGTCCATGACGATCCTTCGTCCAGGGTCAAAATCGTGAGTCCGATGCTGGGAAATCGCAGTAGTACTGGAAATAGCAGTGCATAAGCTGGGCCCCTGTTAGGAATCTGGAATTTCCGCTGCTGTTTCAGGACCGACGTAGATGAGCAGAATTTAATTGTTTCATCACCAGAATCGTCAGCATTTTTATCACCTCTTATTTACAGAAAGCTTCCCCATTGTGGTTTTGATCCGAATGTATTTTTATGGTCGAGATATTATGGTCAGTGCCGCAAATGTCATACCACCTCTCCATTGCTTTTTGTTTTTTCTTCTGCCAGATTCTGCAGCTGTTGCAGAGTGGACACAATTGTGGAAAGACCGTGTCCTTCATGTAACGATGGTAATTATATTTAGTTATGCTGCATATAACTGGGGATTTTTGTGGGAACCGCGAACACAATGTAGATTTTTTTTGGTTTCAACTTAAGCCCAAATGTGCAAAAAACAATAGCATGCAAATCAATGCTGATTTTTTGTTAACCGCATCTCCACACTGCGCAGGCATCCATCAGGCAGTCTCAGTTGAGTACTTTAACGGGGGAATTGGGTTGTGCATTCAGAATTCGCTTGTGATTTTCAGTGGTTTCAGTGGAGTTTTTTTTACCTTTCTGTTACATTATTTTAAAAAAGCGCACATAATTCAAAGCAACATAAGTGGCATTTCACAAGCTGTAAACGGACAAAATTTGCGCTTCTGCGAATAATTGGATTTTGTTAAGAAAACGTGGATATATATACCGGGGAATCATACTCCAATATTTCTCGGTAATTTTGAGGACACACTGCAGTGGAAGGTCATAGCTTGGCTTGCCAGGAGAAAGTGGTCCATAAAAGATGTGGACTTCACCTGTTGTGTCTCTTTAGAATAGAGTGTTGCCTGTGTGGGTTTCCTCTGGTGCTCTGGTATTCTCCCACTTGTAAACACATTAATTGGTAGGTAACTTAATATGCAGAGGGCCGCAGAGCTCGGGCAATATTTGGTGCTGGGCAAGTCATTTGGCTGCCGTCCGGCTTGTTTGTGGTTCTTCGTGCCTCTGGAGTTCTCTATCTTCGAGGGTGGCCTAATTCTGTGCGATGTGATACACCTACATTTTGGAATGAACTGCTCGGTACACTGAAAGTTCAACTACTTCTGTCTCTACACGGCTTAAGATTGTTGATTCAAGACCATTGCTGCCACACTAGCAAATGCAAACTAATAATACAAGCCATCACATTTAGATATTAACGTAATTCTCACGTAACTTTGTACGTTTTCATTCAAATTCTCTATGCTTGAGAATGTTTCTAAATGTTTAGTTGCGTTTGCAATTCTTCCTCCTGGATTTTACCATTGAATTCGTTTTTAAAATGTTTTTTTTTTTCCAGTTGTATTTTATTTCTCAGTATGATACGTCACGTGCAATCTCTTGCAATTTCTTGTAACGTGCCACCTTTATGGGCAGCTAGACCTTGAAAGAGAGCTCTCAATAAATGTGAAGGTAGATTTGTTAAGCTGTTTTATTTTTTGGATTACACAATAACTCAGCAGCTGCTTTTACAACTGCCGAACTTGGCTTGGCTAACAATTTACGTTATGGTTTTTTTCTTTTTTCCGTTTTTTTCAGTCCACAACTTAATATTGGAATGCATTTTAACGTGACGTTCGGAAGCCTCTGTTGCAAGGTAAGATGCTGCTCTGGTGTCCCACCCCTTAACGTTCAGTATCACAACGTCAAGCCTGGTTTTACAGTGAAACCTTGAATTGCGAGCATAATTCGTCCCGGAAACGTGCTCGTAATCCAAAGCACTCGTATATCAAAGCGAATTTCCCCATAAGAAATAATGGAAACTCAGATGATTCGTTCCACAACCCAAAAATACTGTATTCATATAAAAATTATTAATACAAAATACCTAAATTTTTATTATTTAAATGTAATATAAAGTAATCAAATGTATTAATTACATGTAATCGTGGCTGGGAGACGAGAGAGAGGAGAGGAGGGTTATTGTGTAGGACGACTTTCACTTGCAGTACAGTTATTAAATAAGTCACTACACTTGGACACAAAATAAAAAAAATGCTTTACGCACACACACGTGGTCACAACACTATAGTACTGTAATAAACAGTATACGCTCGCACCGATGTTGACTATACGAGTGAGGCACGCCGACTGAGACCGAGCATGGGAGATGATTACCCACAATCCCACAGCGATAGAGATTGAAGAACCATTGGCTCAGTTGTGATCACGTGACGCTCGGCAGACAATGCGTATACTGTACACGTACTGTTCGTATTGCAAGACATCGCTCGTTTATCAAATAATTATTTATTTAACAAAAATTTGCTCGTCTTGCAAAACACTCGCAGACCAAGTTACTCGCAATCCAAGGTTTCACTGTATTAGTTTATTACAATACCTCCATGGTGCATCGATTTCCACACTGGACTTCCAGTTCACAAATCTCCCCATCTCAGTCCACTTGACCTGCCAATAAACCACAGGCTAAAGGCAGGTTTGCGTGTGGTTTGTTAAAATGGGGTTACTCCCACCTCTCATTTTTGCCGTTCTGTACCGGACGTTTGTTAAGGCACTCTTAGGAAGAAATACGAATACGGTACAATTTCGCATATATCTGACCATCACATATCTACCAGGACCAATTATCCACCCCCCCCTCCTCCTCCTCCTTCCACAGTGCACCGTTTCTGCGCGCGTATAACTGTCACTTTCCGTTGACGACGTTCACGTATCCAACCTGTTCACTTGTCCGCCTCGACCTCTGAGTGAGATGTGCGACGTCGATTACTGCGGCTCGCGAGAGAAATGTCAAACGGGTGACCCGAGAATACGTCGCCTCGCGCGGTCGTGCTTTTTACGCAGCATTGGCAGCGTTGGCTGCGCGCAAGCTCGCAGCATCGCGTCTCCGTCTGGAACCAGTCATGGAGCGTGACTCGCAAATATTCCTCAAAACCAGGTGCGTGGATCTTCCGTTTTGCCGAACCGACACGTTATTATGAGGTCGCGCTCATTACACGCGGAAAGTGCTTGCCGCAATTGAACCTCTGCAATACCTTGCTGATCTCGTCAAGGAGCGACGAGCCGTCACGCAGCCGCCGGTCATCCTCGCAGCAGCGGCTTTTGGCTATAACCATCGGAGAATGACGGTTACCGCATCGCGCGCTTTCGTGCTAATCGGAGGTGCGGGAGAAAGACAAGAAACCAAACTCAAAAAGCAGGACAAGCATCGTCCAGATGTAGATGGTTCAGAAAACACACACACGTTGTATGCAGCATATTGGCCGTTGTAAAGAAAAGCAAGTGGCCCGGGGCAGGACGGGCCAGTCGAATGGATTAAGGCTGGTGGTCGAGACTAACTACGGCGTGACAGCCGGTGTGCTGTACTCGTGACGAATTGGCCACGTTCTGTTTACGTGACGACCCTTGCTAGTTGGCTGTGTCAGGTGGTGGCGGGTTTTAACGACACATTTATATGTTTACGCGATCTTACCCAAAAAAAACCTATGATGAACCGACAGGTTGTCCACGGAGGAGATGGAGCGATGGGGAATCGGATCTCTTGCTGGTGCCGGGTAGATTGTTACGTTTTAAAATTCTAACGGTTGATGGGGAACCCTTTATCCAGCAGTGGATTGACCGTGGCAGATGGTGATCATGACCCTGGTATTTGTTTGTAAGTGACAGTTTGGCGACGGCTTGGGGAAGCATTCATTAAGCAGTGGGTAAAATTGCGGTTGGTGATGCGTTGTCTCTCTGCGTCCTTGAGTCAATGTCAGTACCGGATTCGTCTGCACCTTCAAAGTCCCGCGCCGTGTGGTCTTTCTTGCCTAAGAATTCTGTTTCGTGTTCTAGGTGGCACCAATCCTCTCCGTCAGATCCCAAGCCCGGACATCTCCAGGTAAATCAATACATTATGAACCCTTCATCGCACAGAAAACATGCTTATTCTCAAAATGTTTGACCTCCCAATATTGTCCCGATTCTGCAATCGGCCTCGTGCCACGAGGCAGAGTGTTTATTCGGGTTTCACACGCATAAAGATTACAGCTGTATACTGTACAGCCGTGAAAACCTACGCAGCAGTAGAGCCATGTATTTTCCCAATAACTTTGCAGTTCACCTTCTTTGGTTCTTTCGGTAAAGTCACGTAGAATGAGAATAAAATAATAAATTGATAAAATAAAATAACACAATAAAATTCTCACGACGTTTCGGCCACAACACAAGTGGCCTTCTTCAGGTGAAAGGAACAAACCTGTCGGGACGACAGAGCTTCATAGTCCCGACAGGTTTGTTCCTTTCACCTGAAGAAGGCCACTTGTGTTGTGGCCGAAACGTCGTGAGAATTTTATTGTGTTATTTAACTTTATTATTTTATTATTTTATTCTCATTCTACGTGACCTTACCGAAAGAGCCAAAGAAGATGAATCCTTGCAGTCACGAAAGCTTTAAATCGAAATTTAACTTTGCAGTTGTATTTTATTGTTTACATTTATTTTGTTCAGATCGCTCAAAATACGTCTGCCACGTCTTCTCGTCATTTACAATCCACATCGGTTATAATGCACAAGCGTGACAATTCAATTGTTAAAAAAGCTACATAAATCAGCACGTCACATAATCGCCATGCCGTTATATATATTGATGGTTTTCGGCAAAGTACGGGAGACATTCATTATTCTTTGCTACTACTACTGTGATAGTACGTTCTACGTTATGTCCCTTCGAGAAGAGCTGCGTGTGGACAATCTGTGAAACCTTCTGGAAATCTGTGAAAAAGAGCTTTGTAGCTCATAGGATTCCTGCAGCTTAAATAAAGAATCTTGATTGTGATCGTGGTGGATTAAAAAGCGTCGTGCGGCTCTGGAGACGCCGGTTGGCTACCACTGCTCAAGCGGAAGGACTGGGGGGATGGTGGTGGGGGGGTGGGGGGATGGTGGTGGGGGGGGGGGATGGTGGTGGGGGGGTGGTGATGGAGGGGTGGGGTGAGTGGGGGGATGGTGATGTGGTGGTGGGGTGGGGGGATGGTGGTGGTGGGGTGGGGGGATGGTGGTGGTGGGGTGGGGGAATGGTGGTGGTGGGGGGGAAGGTGGTGGTGGGGGGGTGGTCGTGGGGTGGGGTAGGGGGGATGGTGGTGGTGGGGGGGATAGTGGTGGAGGGGTGGGGGGGATGGTGGGGGTGGGTGGTGGTGGGGTGGGGGGATGGTGGTGGGGTGATGGTGGGGGTGGGGTGGTGGTGGTGGGGTAGGGGGGATGATGGTTGTGTTGGGGTGGGGTGGGGGGATGGTGGTGGTGGGGTGGGGATGGTGGTGGAGGCGTGGGGGGGTGGTGGTGGGGGGCTTCCTCTCCCAATTTATTATCAGCGCGTTCGTAATCATCTTCTTCAAGACAGCCCTCCATCGTTTCATATTCTGCCTCTTTCGAAACACTCTTACGTTCCGATATGACCCATAAGTTTTGAGGGCGCCTCTAACTTTCCGGATGCATCTTATAACCCTTGAACCCTTGACAATGTTTTATTTACTCACAAGCTGCGACCTACCCTCGGTCAAACAACCTGTAGCCGACACCCATCGCGCTTATAAGGGACATCGGACATATTTTCAACCGCCCCCTCCCTCTTCATGGTCAAGAATTTTCCAGTATTTCATGCAAATAAGTGCCCTCGTGATATTTCCGTAACAACGCATCGCTCACTCTGCGCCAGATTGTTCTTTTTTTTTTGGCGAAGGTGGCGGTTACAAATGTTGTCGGTTTGCTGACATCTCCGTGAGGAGTTTTTTTTTGTTAGTGTCATTTCCCTTGTATGGATTAGGAGATCTCAGTTTCCTACCAAGTGCAGTCTGCAACGCTTATCAACACCATCTCTCTGGCCTCTCTCTTTACGTGCTCCGAAGAAGGGACTTTGCCCGGAACATCGTCTCATACATGTGAAAATGCACTTTAAAGCCACAGTGTTATTGACAAATGTGTGGAGTTATTACAGTTTGTTGGATCGTCTGTACACATGAGAGCGAACGTGACTCCACGTCGTAGTCGGGCAATCGGACCGACACAGTTGATGCATTTAACACAGGGGTGGGGAACCTTTTTTCTGCCAAGGGCCATTTGGATATTTATAACACCATTCGCGGGCCATACAAAATTATCAACGTAAAAATTAGCCTGTTATATTTGGTCAAACATTTAATTAACTCACCCCTAATGCGATGGCCGGAACTGCTTCTCTTTGGCGAGGCGTTTGATGATGTTAGCCGGTATTGACGATGTTGCTGCTACTCGCAACTGCGTTTCCACGTTTGCTCCTAGATTTATTGAATTTCGAGTCCCGCCTGCAGTTGCCTTGGCAGGACCAGACCAAATGATTTCGCGGGCCTTATACGGCCCGCGGGCTGGACGTTCTCCACCCCTGATTTAACGCCTTCAACCTGAGTGGTGAGGCTTTAAACGAGCGTTCCGTTGAGCTCTACGCCAGTGAAGGTGAACAACAAATTGCGCGGAATAAAGCCTGGTCTCGCCACGTTTTCGGAAGCTAAGCAGGCTTGAGCTTGGACATTCCTTGGATGGGTGACCACCACCGTGCACTGACCGTTCCGGGGCTTGCGGGGGCCACGTGGTGGTGGGTGGTGCAGCACAATCCAATGTCCTGCATTGGTCATCCATGTGAAGTGCGGTCAAATAACTACCACGACCCACGTGGCATGGGGAGGCCCTCATCCAGGAGTGGATTGACAAAAGGCTGTGCGTGTGCACTGTTTAGTGTCAATATATTTACACGATTGGCAGCGTAATTTAAACAGACTGTTTGATGCTAAGTCTGCTCAAGCTTTGGTGTGGTCCTAACCTTTTGGAAAAGCGTCGTACGCTTACAGTCGGTAGTTTTCATGTTAGAGAGTTGACGGGTGTCATTGAGTTAGGTCATTTGTCTTCATCATGCATTCACAGCCTTTGTCTTTCTACTGCTGCATCATGGCCTCCCCATACTGTACCGATCATGGTGAGTTTTGGCCATAATTCACCCCCCTTGTCAGTGCCGGTCAGGCAAAAGGTTGTCCCGGGATTGCTTTAGATGTCACTGATGTTGGCCGTGGCCGAGAATCATACTTGGGTTTCTGGGTTCCCAGTATATGACGGCATTCAAGAAAACCGTAGTCAAGTTCATGAATGTATCAGGTAAGGTTTGAACCAAGCAAGGTTCAACCTGTGTCTGCACCGACAATGGACGAAATGCAGTGTGTGCATATTTTGTTGATGCAGCTGCGTGTTTCCGTGTTGACGCTACAATGGTGACCCCGTTGTTGTTTGCCGCAGGATACGAAACATCGGCATCATGGCCCACATTGACGCAGGAAAGACCACGACGACGGAACGCATGCTGTACTACGCTGGCTACACGCGCGTGCTTGGCGGTACTCACACAGATAACACTGTCAACTCGCTGCTTTGTCCTGTGGACGTTTTGAATTAATAAAATAAGTAATGTTTTTAACAACTTAAAAAAAAAACGCGCTTTAATGACATGTAACCTTAGTAGCATTGGAAGAACTGCACGACTCCAGGAAGTGGCCCCGAAGCTCGCCATTACGTAAGGGGACCGTGGTGATTTACAGCCAACGTCAGTTGAGCGTGGACAATTAGACCCAAGCCGATGCATAACGTATAAAAAATAATGTTTTCAAATATGTGTTTTTATTTTATTTTTTAATGATAGAATATCGTATTGCCATCAGTGTGACATAAGTATACCAAGTTTGCAGTCGATACCACATTGGGAATTAGGTAAAAATTCAGTTAAAACATTTGAGGATACTACAACAACAACAGACAGAGTGAGTTAATAAAAAGTGTGTAAAATGAAGCACATGGCCTGGCTCTTAAGATAACTCTGGCGATCTTTGGTCCCTGTTTATCACTTTACCCGATGAGCCAATCATGGTTAATGATTTAATGCTGATAACTCACCTCATCTGCCAGCTTGAGATTGTGCTTGCTTGACAGCTGTCTTATTTGCCCGAAGCGTCCATGTCGTGTTGAGTCTGCGCGTAGTTTTATCTTGCTGACAAGGTAGGTCAAACGAACAGGTGACCTCTGGTATACCGAGTCCAGTGTTCTAAACATTACACCATGCCGTTATGCCACGCCAGTCAATACCATGCATGTAAGTCAATGTGTTGAAACCAAACTTCCTATCAATGGCAAGTGAATGTGTGGTCTTGATACTCACACTTTGGATCACGGTGGCTAGGAGATGTTAACTACCTCGCCTGGTGTACAGGAGGTCGTGGGTTCACTCCCGACCCTGACGCCTGCTGTATATTCCGAGTCTGCGTGTTCTCTCTCCCCGATGGTGACGTGGATTTTTCTCTGGGTCCTCCAGTTTTTATTTTATTTTTTTATGATAGAATATAGTATTGCCATCAGTATGACATGAGTCTACCAAGTTTGCAGTCGATACCACATTGGGAATTGGGTAAAAATTAAGTTAAAAGATTTGAGGATACAGCAACAACAACAACAGACAGTGAGTTAATAAAAAGTGTGTAAAATGAAGCACATGGCCTGGCACTTAAGATAACTCTGGCGATCTTTGGTCCCTGTTTATCACTTTACCCTATGAGCCAATCATGGTTAATGATTTAATGCTGATAACTCACCTCATCTGCCAGCTTGAGATTGTGCTTGCTTGACAGCTGTCTTATTTTCCCGAAGCGTCAATGTCGTGTTGAGTCTGCGCGTAGTTTTATCTTGCTGACAGGGTAGGTCAAACGAACAGGTGACCTCTGGTATGCCGAGTCCAGTGTTCTAAACGTTACACCATGCCGTTATGCCATGCCAGTCAATACCATGCATGTAAGTCAATGTGTTGAAACCAAACTTCCTATCAATGACAAGTGAATGTGTGGTCTTGATACTTTTCTTGATTTAAAGCTTTCGTGACTGCAAGGATCCATACTCTATGGTTCCATTGGGTAAAGTCACGTAGGTAAAAGATAAAATAACAAAAATCACGACGTTTCGGCCACAACACAAGCGGCCTTCATCAGGTGAAGGGACGAGACTGTCTGGAGGACAGCGCTGGAGTGAAAAAAGCCACGCTCAGATCACGACCTTCTTCTCACACAGCTTAAAGGTCGTGATCTGAGCGTGGCTTTTTTCACTCCAGTGCTGTCCTCCAGACAGTCTCGTCCCTTCACCTGATGAAGGCCGCTTGTGTTGTGGCCGAAACGTCGTGATTTTTGTTATTTTATTTTTTACCTACGTGACTTTACCCAATAGAATCAAAGAGTATGGTCTTGATACTCACACTTAGCATCACGGTGGCTAGGAGATGTTAACTACCTCGCCTGATATACAGGAGGTCGTGGGTTCACTCTCGACCCTGACGCCTGCTGTATATTTGGAGTCTGCATGTTCTCTCTCCCCCATGGTGACATGGATTTTTCTCTGGGTCCTCCAGTTTTTATTTATTTTTTTATGATAGAATATCGTATTGCCATCAGTATGACATAAGTATACCACGTTTGCAGTCGATACCACATTGGGAATGGGGTAAAAATTCAGTTAAAAGATTTGAGGATTCAACAACAACAACAACAGACAGAGTGAGTTAATAAAAAGTGTGCAAAATGAAGCACATGGCCTGGCTCTTAAGATAATTCTGGCGATCTTTGGTCCCTGTTTATCACTTTACCCTATGAGCCACTCATGGTTAATTATTTAATGCTGATAACTCACCTCATCTGCCAGCTTGAGATTGTGCTTGCTTGACAGCTGTCTTATTTTCCCGAAGCGTCCATGTCGTGTTGAGTCTGCGCATGGTTTTATCTTGCTGGCAGGGTAGGTCAATCGAACAGGTGACCTCTGGTATGCCGAGTCCAGTGTTCTTAACATTACACCATGCCGTTATGCCACGCCAGTCAATACCATGCATGTAAGTCAATGTGTTGAAACCAAACTTCCTATCAATGACAAGTGAATGTGTGGTCTTGATACTCACACTTAGCATCACGGTGGCTAGATGTTAACTACCTCGCCTGGTGTACAGGAGGTCGCGGATTCACTCCCGACCCTGACGCCTGCTGTATATTCCGAGTCTGCGTGTTCTCTCTCCCCCATGGTGACATGGATTTTTCTCTGGGTTCTCCAGTTTTTATTTTATTTTTTATGATAGAATATAGTATTGCCATCAGTGTGACATAAGTATACCAAGTTTGCAGTCGATACCACATTGGGAATTGGGTAAAAATTCAGTTAAAAGATTTGAGGATACAGCAACAACAACAACAACGGACAGAGTGAGTTAATAAAAAGTGTGTAAAATGAAGCACATGGGCTGGCTCTTAAGATAACTCTGGCGATCTTTGGTCCCTGTTTATCACTTTACCCTATGAGCCAATCATGGTTAATGATTTAATGCTGATAACTCACCTCATCTGCCAGCTTGAGATTGTGCTTGCTTGACAGCTGTCTTATTTTCCCGAAGCGTCCATGTCGTGTTGAGTCTGCGCGTAGTTTTATCTTGCTGACAGGGTAGGTCAAACGAACAGGTGACCTCTGGTATGCCGAGTCCAGTGTTCTAAACATTACACCATGCCGTTATGCCACGCCAGTCAATATCATGCATGTAAGTCAATGTGTTGAAACCAAACTTCCTATCAATGGCAAGTGAATGTGTGGTCTTGATACTCACACTTAGCATCACGGTGGCTAGGAGATGTTAACTACCTCGCCTGGTATACAGGAGGTCGTGGGTTCACTCCCGACCCTGACGCCTGCTGTATATTTGGAGTCTGCGTGTTCTCTCTCCCCGATGGTGACGTGGATTTTTCTCTGGGTCCTCCAGTTTTGATTTTATTTTTCATGATAGAATATAGTATTGCCATCAGTATGACATGAGTCTACCAAGTTTGCAGTCGATACCACATTGGGAATTGGGTAAAAATTCAGTTAAAAGATTTGAGGATTCAACAACAACAACAGACAGAGTGAGTTAATAAAAAATGTGTAAAATGAAGCACATGGCCTGGCGCTTAAGATAACTCTGGCGATCTTTGGTCCCTGTTTATCACTTTACCCTATGAGCCAATCATGGTTAATGATTTAATGCTGATAACTCACCTCATCTGCCAGCTTGAAATTGTGCTTGCTTGACAGCTGTCTTATTTTCCCGAAGCGTCCATGTCGTGTTGAGTCTGCGCGTAGTTTTATCTTGCTCGCAGGGTAGGTCAAACGAACAGGTGACCTCTGGTATGCCGAGTCCAGTGTTCTAACCATTACACCATGCCGTTATGCCACGCCAGTCAATACCATGCATGTAAGTCAATGTGTTGAAACCAAACTTCCTATCAATGACAAGTGAATGTGTGGTCTTGATACTTTTCTTGATTTAAAGCTTTCGTGACTGCAAGGATCCATACTCTTTGGTTCTATTGGGTAAAGTCACGTAGGTAAAAGATAAAATAACAAAAATCACGACGTTTCGGCCACAACACAAGCGGCCTTCATCAGGTAAAGGGACGAGACTGTCTGGAGGACAGCGCTGGAGTGAAAAAAGCCACGCTCAGATCACGACCTTCTTCTCACACAGCTTAAAGGTCGTGATCTGAGCGTGGCTTTTTTCACTCCAGCGCTGTCCTCCAGACAGTCTCGTCCCTTCACCTGATGAAGGCCGCTTGTGTTGTGGCCGAAACGTCGTGATTTTTGTTATTTTATTTTTTACCTACGTGACTTTACCCAATAGAATCAAAGAGTATGGTCTTGATACTCACACTTAGCATCACGGTGGCTAGGAGATGTTAACTACCTCGCCTGATATACAGGAGGTCGTGGGTTCACTCTCGACCCTGACGCCTGCTGTATATTTGGAGTCTGCATGTTCTCTCTCCCCCATGGTGACATGGATTTTTCTCTGGGTCCTCCAGTTTTTATTTTATTTTTTATGATAGAATATCGTATTGCCATCAGTATGACATGAGTCTACCAAGTTTGCAGTCGATACCACATTGGGAATTGGGTAAAATTTCAGTTAAAAGATTTGAGGATACAGCAACAACAACAACAGACAGAGTGAGTCAATAAAAAGTGTGTAAAATGAAGCACATGGCCTGGCTCTTAAGATAACTCTGGCGATCTTTGGTCCCTGTTTATCACTTTACCCTATGAGCCAATCATGGTTAATGATTTAATGCTGATAACTCACCTCATCTGCCAGCTTGAGATTGTGCTTGCTTGACAGCTGTCTTATTTTCCCGAAGCGTCCATGTCGTGTTGAGTCTGCGCATGGTTTTATCTTGCTGGCAGGGTAGGTCAAACGAACAGGTGACCTCTGGTATGCCGAGTTCAGTGTTCTAAACATTACACCATGTCGTTATGCCACGCCAGTCAATACCATGCATGTAAGTCAATGTGTTGAAACCAAACTTCCTATCAATGGCAAGTGAATGTGTGGTCTTGATACTCACACTTAGCATCACGGTGGCTAGGAGATGTTAACTACCTCGCCTGGTATACAGGAGGTCGTGGGTTCACTCCCGACCCTGACGCCTGCTGTATATTTGGAGTCTGCATGTTCTCTCTCCCCCATCGTGACGTGGATTTTTCTCTGGGTCCTCCAGTTTGTCCCTCGATATTTATAAACATGCGTTGAAGAGTATTTTGGCTGCTATACATTTCCACACGTGATAAGCCACTTCGTACGAAATATCACTTGTGATTGCCAGGTCGCTTCTGAAAAAGAAGCTTAATGGCTCAGTGGGTCTTACCCGGTTAAAATTAGATATAGCATAATTTTCATTTTAGCGTGAGAGCGGCAAACGGGCCAACGCCCGTTGACCAACCTCCGTGGTATTTTTGTCATTGTCCTCAACTGTGAGAATTAAAAAGTCCTGTCGGCAATGCACGGCAATCATGACGGAGGTGGGTGTGGAGGTGGAAAATCACCAGGCGGTGGCCAGGGCCGGCGACCACCAAGGAACCATGGCGCGACCAGGGGTCTGTGGCAAGACGAAACGTAGGGGCCTGCATGGCCTGCGGTGGAGCGGCAGTCCGTAGCCACCGTCTCATTATTTCCGCCGCTCCCCCCTCTCTTTCCCCCGCCCCCCCCCCCCCCCCACCTTGGCCAACGCCGGGCGAAATAAAACACTTTGTTGATACGAATACATTGTTCGTCACTCGACGCTGCTCCCGCATTGGGATCCTTGGACAAATCCCTCCCGTCATTGAGCCTTTGGCTCGAGGCAGGAAGCCAGAGTCAGAAGCAGAGGATATTTAGTTATACCGGAGGAATCCGATGAGCTTTCAAGGTCTTTTTCACAGGTGTGCAGTTGGGGCAGGTCAGAACGTTACATCAACAAACAATACAAAAACACGATAGGAGTGCAGAGTATAAGAAAAGTAATACAATCCCTTATCAAGTAAAACACAATGAGCTGTCATCTTCTTTTTCGGAAATTACTTGGCCACAAATGATAGCTCAACAAAGACAAATAATGTAATATAAATGCATGTTTCACACAGCAGAGGAATGACAGGGTGCTGTGAAGTCTGAATTATTGTCACATCATAATGATGACCATTATTTATTCTAGATTTGAAGCTTTCGTGACTGCAAGGATCCATACTCTTTGGTTCTATTTGGTAAAGTCACGTGGGACGCGACCTGGGCTTGCTGTCTTCACTCCAACGCTGTCCTCTGGACAGTCCAGTCCCTTCACCTGATGAAGGCCACTTGTGTTGTGGCCGAAACATCGTGATTTTTTGTTATTTTTTTTTTTACCTACGTGACTTTACCGAATATAACCAAAGAGTATGACCATTATTGATGAAACTTATGGTAGCCCATGCCTGTGGAAACCCTACGTCTAATTTAAAAGACAAAGATCCCCCGTGTAGCCTTAACAGACTGTAGGAGCAAGTGCCGTTAGCGAGCACCTATAAAGGCCGACACGGAACACGAGGGGGTGGGAGGCCAACACCACGCCCGGCCGCCTTTGTCTCCCCAGTGACGATGTGTACACATCGCACCAGGTACTCATTTGAGGCTTAGTCGACCTAGGGGAGGCCCAGGACCGGTTCAGATAATCGTCACTGTTTTGGCCGTGAGCGGGAATCGAACCCGGGTCGCCAGGTTAATTGCGCAGCGTAGCGCTAACCGCTCCCCTACATCTAACACACAGACACACACGTTGAATACCACACTCACATTCACTCACAGATGGAACCCTTTGCTTCACTGCCACCCCCTGGTCATCGTTGTCCATGTAGACGTCAACGTAACGGTCGGCTCAAATCAACTTTGGGCAGCGCCCATTGGCACCAGCGGCCGCTGGGCTAGTGGTGAAAATTCCACATTTCTATGACGGGGGCCTTTCTCTCAATAGGACGACAACAACAACAGCAATGCTGTCCCACAGCATTAGGTTAGGTTCCGTGTACTCCGGCATAAGCGCTTATTCGCGTATGTTGGGGTTCGCCTATACGAGTGTAGATATACAATGTAAGAGTGTCTATATAAAATGTATGCAAATGTACGTAAATGTTTAATTGTACTGTGCAGTACATGATTCACGAATCATCGATAGCATCCGGGTCAGATAGAACTCTCGATTATTATTAACACTATATTATCGACACTGTATTAGAAAGCTAGCGATGGTTTTGGACTCGTTTCTTGTGCAGGCGAGACAGTTACACGCCGTAAAAGCCACGTTCGCGTAACGGCAGAACGATTTGGCTCCTCGCTTCCCGCCCCCCCCCCCCCCCCCGTGTGAGTAGCGAAAGTACGAGTCACAAAGCGCGAGTGCGAATCGGGGTCGGTTGCGTATGAGCGGGGGGTCCGCGTACTCTTGAGAGTGAAAAATGTAGCGCGGCCGGACCGTTACATTTTTTAGCGGCAGGCTGGGTTGCTCGGCCGATGAGCTGCTGCCCTGCGCCCTCCCCTCTGCAGTCGACACTCGGACGGAAATGTTCCGCCGAGCACACGAAAGCGATGGCGAAAATGCTGACAAATGCGTTTTCCTCTGTTTGACTTTTGAATTCCGCTCCGGGCGAGCAGACGTTGATGACGGCGACACGGTGACGGACTTCATGGCGCAGGAGCGGGAGAGAGGCATCACCATCCAGTCGGCCGCCGTGTCCTTCCACTGGAGCGGCCACCGCATCAACCTCGTCGACACCCCCGGTGAGCCTGTGCGCCGTCGGATTTTTTTTGCAGCGTGTTACAAAATTCCGTGGCACGTGCCGCCGTGGGTGTTGCTGCCCGTCCGGGGTGTTCGCCGGAGCTGCATTGGCTTCCGGTTGCCGAACGAATACGTCATGAGGTGGAACTTATTACACACACACACAGAAAGTGCTTGCCGCAAACGGACCACGGTACCTTGCTGATCTCGTCAAGGAGCAGAAACCGTCACGTGAACTCCGGTCATCCTCGCAGCGGCTTTTGGCTCGCCATCGAACAAAAGACGGTCGCCGCATCGCGCGCTTTCAGATGCGCTTCTGCGGCCGTCTGGAACGCTCTTCGTTGCGATATCAGGAAGCCACTGGAATTATGCACTTTTCATAACTAGATTGGAAACTTATTTATTTTGTTCACTGCTTTTTGTGTTTAGTTTGTTGTCCTTCGCTCGCACACCTCCCAATTAGCACGGTTGACTACGTTCTGTGCGAAATAAGTTCAACATACATACGTATTCAAGGACACAGCAGCATGCTTTGATGGGGATTCCATAACTCGGTGCTTAGCCCCATCGATTTTCTCAGTAAACCAGTCCCGGTACCGAACGGACATTGTCTTGCCGCCAAACAGTAAGAGTCGGGTGTCTGTGTTGTGTTGTTTGCAGGGCATGTGGACTTCACGGTGGAGGTTGAACGATGCCTGCGCGTGCTGGACGGTGCCGTGGCCGTGTTTGACGCCTCTGCTGGCGTTGAGGTGGGCGTTTGTGTTTATTTGCGTGCGTGAGTGTGCGTGTGTGTGAGTGTGCGTGAGTGTGCATGTGCAACAGCGGTAGTGTCGTGGTTAGCGCGCTGCGCTACGAACCTGGCGATACGGGTTCGATTCCCGTTCATGGCCAATACCAGTGACGATTATCTGAACCGGTCCTGGGCCTCCCCTAGGTTGAATCAGCCTTTAAATTAGTACCTGGTTCAATGTGTAAACATCACCACTAGAGAGACGAAGGCGGCCGGGCGTGGTGTTGGCCACCCACCCCCTCGTGTGCCGTGCCGGCCTTCATTGGTGCTCGCAGCACTTGCCCCAACAGTCTGTTAAGGCTATACGGGGGATCTTTGTCTTTGTTAGAGTGACGCTCAAAACAATGAGCGGAGCACCGGGCGGCTAAAATACAGCAAGTTGGCATAGTAGGGGTCACTGTTGGTGCATCTGACAAGTCATGTCAGAATGTCAACCCGTGCCACCTGGGTCCGTCCCGTGACCTGTTAGCGAGCCTTGGGACTACTTCACATGGCCTCTAAGTGCACCTGGCCTGGTACAGGCGCCGTAGTGACGTCACCTCTACTTAGTGGCGAATGGCGGCTGTTGTTGCGTTAGTTCAATCGGTGTGTGAAAATGCTTATTGGGGGAGCAGTGGCTTATTGGTTTGCACAAAGTGGCACTGCAGTTCTCCCGCCTGGGTTCGATTCCTGGCGACGATGCGCGACATCGGTGAAACGTTGTATTCCAACCGTTCCTGAGCCTCCCCTACATCGACTCGGCCTCAAACCAGTTCCCAGTGCTGTGCGTCAACGTCAGCACTGGGGAGACAATGACGGCGTGGCGTGGTGCCGGACGCACCATCAACTCGTGCGCATTGACGGCCCTTCAAGAGGTCCTTTCTGACAGCACCTGGTCCCCCTTTATTTACATGACGCTCATAGAAAAATTATAATGCACATTCGATAATATTACGTTGGGGTTTCGAGGGTAGGGTAAGGTTAGGCTTGCCTGAAGTTGAACCCAGGGGGTGTCAGCTCTGAGCCCTGTGCCACCCGCCCGCCTGTCAACATGACGGCCTTCTTGCGGGGTGTTTTCAGTTCCTCGACCTTGCAGCGGGGATCACCGAAGCATCCGTTTTGTGCGCGCAGGCTCAGACGATGACCGTCTGGCGACAGGCTGATCGCTACGAGGTTCCTCGATTGTGCTTCCTCAACAAGATGGACAAACTGGGAGCCAGGTGAGGCCCCCCGGAAATCATGTCCAGACTGTGATTCAAGGTTTGCATCGGTGCCACCCCTCCACCCCACCCTACCATGTCTCCTGTTCATTGTCGCAGTGTGAAGCGTCGTGAGGTGGCCGGGCGGCTCAAGAGATCGCAGGACTGAGCCGGGCACCCATGATGAGAACCTGGGTTCGAATCCGGGTTTCAACCGCCAGCGATTAAACCGGCTTCTCGAGTGTTGCGAGTCCCGTGGCTGTAGCCTGTTCACCAGTGGCATCACGGAAAAACAAAAAGAAAAAAAAAACCCACAATCGCAATCAACTTGGGTTTTCATTTATTTTTTGTCTCAATTAAAGAATTAAAGTCATCGGTTTGACTGACGCGACACGGACTTTACTCTCAGTGGCAGAGCGAGTGGGAAAGCGCGGACCGGAGTTCTCAGAAGTAGCTCTGCGGTATCCGCTTCCGTGGACCAGCGTGCTCTGCGAGGGCTCTGAATTAAACCTTCATGCCGTGACGTGACCCCGGTTGCACGTCGGAGATGAAAATTAGCAAAGAGATGATGGGGTGGAACGGTGGGGCAGTCGTTAGCCTTCCGCGCTCCTTGGTGCCATGGCTGATATTAAACCGATCATCATCTATTAGTCATCATCTATTAGTCATCACTTTGGCATTGGTAAAAAATGATTTGCATCTTATTTGTTCAATGTTAGCAGTGGTCATCCTGAGGATAGATTGGTCCTTGTCATAGGAATGTGGAATTTCAATCACTGGTTTATCACCGTCAGTGGCAATGGGTGCCGCCCACTGCTCATTTGAGAGCAGGGAGACACTCTTTTGACTTTTTTTTTTGGGGGGGGGGGGACACCTTAAGGTGGTGGTGGCGGTGGTACCAGAACTGTCGCCGTAGAAATGGAACTCCTAACTATTTTTTATCTGGCAGCAGGCGATTGTGGGGTTTGGTCGCATTATTGACGTCACCGACGACATCATCTTGGTGTTCCTATTCATATTATTTTCTTTCTCAGCTTTGCCTACTCCGTGGACTCCATCAAAGAGAAACTTAAAGTCCAGCCTCTCATTATACAGGTTAGTTATAGATTAACGAGCTTAACATCTATATAATGAATAGCTCATCTATATTTTGGTACGTATCTAGGCATGCATGTTTCTCTGTCTGGAAAATTTCCCCCTAGACTTGTTTGAAAGCGTATGATAAGAAATTTGTACCCTATAAACGTAAACTAAACTATCTTCTTTGGTTCTTTCGGTAAAGTCACGTAGAATGAGAATAAAATAATAAATTGATGAAAATAATAAATTGTGTTGTGGCCGAAACGTCGTGAGAATATTATTGTGTTATTTTATTTTATCAATTTATTATTTTATTCTCATTCTACGTGACTTTACCGAAAGAACCAAAGAAGATGAATCCTTGCAGTCACGAAAGCTTTAAATCGAAAAGTAAACTAAACTATTTTATTTAACAGTTAAAGCTCACTGAGCTATTAGCTCTTTTTCAGAAGCGACCTGGCCACAGATGACAGCTCAACGGAGTGGCTCATTAAGTGGAAATTTATTTCAGCCGGTTACTCTAAACGCACGTTTGTTCTAAATTTGGGGGGGAAAAAAGCGGGGGACCCGGAGAAAAATCCTCGCGTGCAAGCTCCAAATATACAGGAGTCTGGGGGCGCAACCGCACCCACGACGACCTCCTTCGTACCAGGCGAGGGAGATAACATCACGGCACGGCGGCACCAAATTTGGCTCGTCACACCCCTCCGCTGCTCTGCTCGACCCGCCGCTCGCAGTTCCCCAACCGGCGCATCGTGCGAAACCCGTTGGGGAAAAAAACCGCACGCGGCACCTGCGCGCCGGTGCCTGCGAGATATCCGGCAGAGGGCAGGAAGCGACGACGTGCTGCGGCCAATTCCTCTCCGCGTCCCCTTCTCCCCGCCCACCACCACCTACGGCGCCCCCCTCCCCTCGCCAGTTGCCCGTCGGCGCCGAGAGGACGTTCCGCGGCATCGTGGACGTCGTCTCCATGGAGGCGTTCACGTGGGGGGGCGCGCGACCGGCCGGATCGCGGGCGCATCCGGAACGGGACGACGGCTCGGAGTTTGAGAGAACGACGCTGAGCCCTGCGGGGACCCCCGAGCTGTGGCCGAGCGCCGTGGAGGCGCGGAAGACCCTGGTGGAGCAGGTGGGGCGGTGGAGGGCGAGCGGCACCTCGCTTTCACGCCAGCGGAGTCCTTCCATGTCATTTTGTCACGATGGGATTTTTTTCACGCGATATCGGCGTCCCGTAACTTGCGTCTCAAGTTGTTATCACATCGTTCGTGCGCGTGTGCGTGCGGCGGTGTAGCGGTTAGCGCGCGCTGCGCCACGAACCTGGCGACGCAGGTTCGATTCCCGCTCACGGCCAACACCACTGACGGTTATCTGAACCGGTCCTGGGCCTTCCCGAGGTTGACTCACATGAGGTGTGTAAACATCGCCACCGGGGAGACAAAGGCGGCCGGGCGATGTGTTGGCCACCCACCCTCACGTGTGCCGTGCCGGCTTTCATAGGTGCTCGCTAACAGCACTTGCCCCTGCAGTCTGTTACTGCTATACGGAGGATCTTTGTCTTTTTTCGGGCTCGGATGTACGTGGCCATAGATCCCGATGTAGGACCACAGAGCTTGGGCAATTGTTGGCGCCGGTTATGGCTGCCCTTCTTGCTTGTTTGTGGTTCGGTGGCAGAATGGATGGGGGAAGTGGCAACCCCTACATTGCTGTACGTGTGTTGAACTTCTTTCGCACCGTATGTAGCCAACTGTGCTAATCGGAGGTGCGGGCGAAAGGTCGCCCAGTAAAGGATCTTAGTGGTAGCTCTGTGTTATCCGCTTCCGTGGGCCGTTCTTGAACACGAAGGGGGTTGCACTGCTCTGCGAGCGATCCAGATGGGTTCTTCGTCCCGTGGCAGACGATTGCCGTTGATGTGGTTGTTGTTGTTGTTTGTTGTTGTTGTTGTGGTGGTGCAGCTGGCGGACGGAGATGACGCATTCGCAGAGCTGGTTTTAGGGCAGCACAGTGACGACCTCTCCTCCGTGGCCAGCGAACACGTGAGTAGCCTCGATATAGTTTAACATCGCATCCCCCGCAAGGCAAAGCGGCCATTGGTAAAAATGGTCAGAACAAGGTTCATCATCATCATCATCCATGGTCTGTTCGCTTCTTGATGAAGACCTTCCCACTCTTTTATATATCGTGGTCCTGGTATATCGCAGTCCATCTCACTCCTGCACATCTCACGATACTGTTAGCACAATCCGAATACATTGTGGGAAACAATCACAGTGTAGAGAAAAGAAGACTCCACGAAAAACAACAAAAAAATGATTCCTCTTTCAATTCACACCTTTCTGGGTGTTTTCGCTCGCTTGCTCCAGCTTAGTTCTTGCGGCATACCTCTCTCGGCTCAACGCTCCGTTTCCCCCCTAAAGTCAATCGTGCCGGAACGTTCGTTTGTTCCGCTCCGTGTGTCCCTTCCCCTGTCCCGCCCCCCCTCCACCACCACCCCCGGCCCCTTCTGTGCGTGGCCGGATCGACGGCGCCCTCAGGTGCGCACGGCCCTGCGTAGGGCGACGCTCAGCCGGGCGGCCGTGCCCGTGCTGTGTGGCAGCGCGCTCAAGAATAAGGGCGTGCAGCTGCTGATGGACGCGGTCACGCACTACCTGCCCTCGCCGGTCGAGCGCCAGCACCCCTTCCTGTGAGACGCGCGGTGGGGACACACGGGGGCCACGCGGGATAGACGAGGGACACGTCGGGGGATTGGCGGGGGGGGACACGCGGGGATAGACGCTGGGATAAGTGAGGACGTGGAGGGAAAGATGGGGGTGAGCAGAGACGGATGGGAGGCACAGGGGAGATGCGAGAACAGACCGGAATTTGGGACACTTGGAAGACTTCGGCACAGAGAACGCAGTGGGCCAGATGGTGGTACGGGGAGAAATAATCCTTTCGGTTCATAGAGAGAGAGAGTACATGGTGAACGTAGAGACGTGGAGTGTATGGGGACAGCCAGTCCACTGTTGGATGAGGGCCTCTGTACGCCACGAAATCCATCGTTGTGCTTCACTTCTACGGTTCCCCTCAAACATCCCTGCTCCCTGCCCTGGCACCAAACCCGCGCCGGGGCTGCGTGGTGAGGTGAAAGTTTCCCACGAGGCTGAACAAGCGCGCAATTGTTTTTTTATGCCCGCGTGCGCCCCTAGGCAGTGGTACGGCGACGAGCCGTGCGCGCTGGCGTTCAAGGTGACGCACGACAAGCAGAGGGGGCCTCTGGTCTTCCTGAGGGTCTACTCCGGGGCATTAAGGCCGCAGTCGTCCGTCTTCAACATCAACAAGGACTGCACGTGAGACTCCCCCCCCCCCCCCCCCCTCGGGCTTGCCGACGGCTCATTGGCTGCCGGCCATCGCGCGAAGACGGTCGCCGCGTCGTCGCGCGGCGCTTTCGCGTGCCCTTCTGCGGCCGTCTGGAACGCCCCTTGCGATATTCGGAAGCCACTGGAGGCCATGCGCTTTTAAATCGTCTATATTTAAAACTCATTTGCGTTTAGTTTGTTGTGTTTCGCCCGCACCGCCGATTGGCACGGTTGGCTATGTACGGTGCGACAGAAGTTCAACATGCACGCACACACACGTGTGGCCAAAGGGCGCGGGTCGAAATCCTGGCTCTCAGGGTTGTCATGCGTGTGGTCGTCGGCAGCAGCGTCATTGTCGTCTTCATTGCCGTCGCTGTAGTGTTTGCCATCGTCATCATTGCCATTGAAGGCCTTCACACTTGAAGAACTTTCTAAACACCTCAATGGAGGACCTTCTTGGCAAGGAGGTTTAAGTTTTACTCGTTAAAGTACAATTATTGTTACAGTCATCGTTGTTTTTCTGAGGTTCTAAAAAATTGTCTTGCCACTTTGCTGCAAGTGTGTCCATCCTGTTGAGAGACTGCCAGCCACCACGGGGATGTGGAATTTCCATTGCTGGCTCGGGGCACTTCAGTAGAGGTGACCTTTGCACTCGTTGCCTGTTGACCTGGCCACGGCTGTTGTGCTCGTGCGTGTGTCGAAGGGAGAGAATGAACAAACTGCTGCTGCCCTTCGCTGACCAACACGTGGAGCTTTCCTCTCTGTCAGCCGGAAATATCGCAATTGCGGTCGGCCTTAAGCAGGTGGGTTTGAATAGCAACGGTCTTTGCATCTATGTAGCGCGCTGACTTGCGTGCACCGTCACCTCAAAGCGCCTTGATATAGCCATTATAAATCGACGTTCCAAGGGCACCCCCGGCAGAAGATGTACCCTGTGCGGCACAGGGTCACTCGGCACCAGGCCTGCAAGTTGGAATTCGTCTGCGAGTATGGGGCGATGATTGTGGATACTTTGTGTAATCCCAATGGGTAACTTGCGGTGCCATTTTTTTCAATTGCGGCACATTATTAATACACCCGCAGTATTAAACCAGGGCCATCTGCCGGATTCGAAACGCGAACCCTCTGCCAACGAGGGGCGAGCGCGCTGTAGCCGGGCTATTGCTCTCTAGGTGACCAGGGGGCTTGGGGCGCGGAGTGCGTTGAGCTAGCACCGTGGAAATCCCAGGGTCAAATCCAAGTTTCAGCCACTGCCCGTGAATAAACCGGGTTCTCATGCGCTTGACTCAAACGCCAATGACTGCACAAAATAAATACTGTATCACGTTGAATAGGTTTTTCAATTAACATTGCAATTATTCTACCACTGGCAATTGCAAGTTTTGGTTTCGTTGCTTCTTGATGGAAATCTCTGCAGCAGGGCAAGTGGGAAAGTTCAGGCCCCCCCCCCGTGAATAAAAAGGCTGAATTTCTGATGACGTGAAGGAGAACCTGGTTTAATCACAGTCGGCTACCTGAATTCGAACCCAGAAACTCGGTGGTTCAAGTTGATTTTGTGAGCGAAGTGAGAACTGAGCTGAGTGCAGGACAGTCGCGTTTGCAAGAGTTGCCTGGGTCAATTGAAAATGAGAACAGTCTACAACGCAGTACAACAATGAAGCAATTAGCCAGATATAAATGGGAGAAAAAACAACTGCATGGCAGAAGAGATTGAATCGGCGCAAGAACCTATATTAATATTAAATTAAATAAACTTCCCATTACGAAAGTTGACTAGTTACATTTTTTAACTGGTGACGACCGCTTGTGTTGCGATCGAAACGTCGTAGTTTTTTTGTTATTTTCTTTGAACCTATTGACGTGACTTTACCGTAAGACCCAAAGAAAGGTTCATTTAACTTTTGAAAACCATTGGCTGTGTTTGCTTGCCGCTCTGACCCCTGGATTGCTCTGTGTGTGTGTGATGATGTGCCGTATGTTGAACTTCTTTCGCACCGTACGTAGCCAACCATGCTCATCGGTGGTGCAGGAAACTAGTATTTCCCTGACTGGGAATTGATCCCGGGAGGCGGGGGTGAGAGCACCAAATCCTAACAGCTAGCCAACCGATCCCCGTCGTTCGCCACTAAGTGACGATGATGTCACCACGGTGCCTGTGCCAGGCCAGGTGCACATTGAGGCTACGTGAAGTGTTGAATACTCACTGACGGGAGGTCATGGGACATTCCCATGTGCCATGGGTTGACTGACTGAGATCACTGGCAGATGCACCAGCTGCGCAAACTTGCTGTATTTTAGCTGCCGGCACTCTGCACGTTGTTGTGAGCGTCGCTCCTCTGCCCTCCGTTGTTGTTGGAGGGCGACTGCCTCCAACTACCCAGTAGCATCGTCCTTCACAAGCCTCCTCCATCCTAACCACTAGACCACCAGGGAGCCACGAACGATCTATAACGCCCCCCCCCCCCCCCACGCCACATGGTTACCAACTACTCGCTATCGCGATGGCTTCTCACCGGTGACATTAACACAGCTGACTGCCACTCGATACCGAACACCACTGCGCCTCTCCTACCACCCGACCCAACCTCGCCCTCCTTCCGTGCTCGCACAGACAGGCACGGGGGACACGCTGGTGGCGTCCAAGTCATCGGCGCAGGCCGCTTCTCGCCGCGCCTCCTCCGCCGCCACCTCCACGCAGGGCAAAGTTAGCCACAAGGACCCCGGGGCGTCCAAGCTGCCGGTCCTAGCCGGCGTCGAGGTGCCTGAAGCCGTGTTCTTCTGTACCGTCGAAGCGCCGTCCATCGCCAAACAGGGCGGTAAGGGTGTGCGCGAAGGGAGGCAGTCAACGAGCAGGAAGGGAAAGTGCCGATGTGGCCGCGTGGCGTTAGGAGGTTCAAACTAATGTTTGTGTCGGGAATGATGGGCCGGCAACGATGAGAATCTGGCTTGTTTCCACCTGTGGTTGAACCACGTTCTCGACAGTAGGGGGTTTGTTCTCTTAATAGTGTAAAAGGTAATACGAAAAAAGCGTCTCCCTGTTCAACTTCTGGATGAATTCCTTGCCGAGTCTTCATCCATCCCTCACGATGCCACAATCCATTTCTTTCCTGCACACGAGCCCATTTCGTCACTCCATCTCCGCGGCGGTTCAAACACTCTCGCGCGCTCTCTGTGTCCTTTGCCACCTCGTCACCAGTCTGCTCCGTCGGCCAATCGTCCCTTCTCGTGACGATATGAGTTGGCCCATGGGTGTGCTCGCTTATGTTAACGCCTCTCCAGTTTACGTTTGCTCCCCCTGCTATCTCTCGATCGAATTCCGGTCCTGCACCTCGCCATGCTCGTATCTTCAAACTCTTCAGGTTTTTTTTCCCACTCTCCACTGTGCATGTTTTTGATCCGTAGCTGGAAAACCCCACGGGGGTCTCTCTACGGTGCAGGCTCAGTGCTCCTGAACCACCCCGGCCACCTTTCATTTTACACAGCACTAAATTATAATCATACGCGTTGGTGTGGAGCAGACAATATGCCTCGCGCTTCTGGCCGTTAAGTGGCATTGGTATCAGCATTGGTTCAAGCAGATGTCCGATGATGGGACTCTGAAAGTTGAAACCGGTCCGATGTTTGCTTGTGTTGAACCGGTGCTGCTGAAATTCTTTGTGTAAATACGCACACACAGAGAAGGCCATGTGGCTGATGGGATGTGTAAAAAATACATAGTTTCATTTTTTTGGTGGATGGATTTTTACGTTATTTTCACACAAAGAGGCGGACTTGTCGATGTGTACGTGTGTGTGTGTGTGCAGAGCTGGAGCACGCCCTGGCCTGCCTGCAGAGAGAGGACCCCAGTCTGAGGGTGAAGGTCGATCCGGACTCTGGACAGGTGGGAGACGGGGCGAGAGACGCACCAACGGGCAACTAAGTGCACCCAGCTACGAAACCCACAGTTTGTTTCCCCCGCCCGTGTTACACGTCATTGTCAAATGCAGCCGTACCTCTCGAAGCCGGACTCGAGTAAGCCAGAATTCTGGGTAAGCGAAATCTGGCTGTCGCCCTGATGAAGCTAGTTGTAATGACTGGCGATGTTGTGGATTTGCTCTCCAACACACCGGTGTGCTGTACCAGTCACGAATGTTTTGTTTCCTTGACAAACCTTATCGGCTGTGTCAGGTGGTGGCGGGTTTAACAACATTCATATTTATGCGATCTCACCCACAACACCTGTATTATGGATGATCGGACTACCTCATGCAAATGAGACAATCCGGAAAAAGACTGAGCGGATCGCTTTCCGTGCCGTTATTTCAACAGCGCCCAGCAGGATGCGGCGTTCGGCTTTTCGCCATTAAACCACACGCACGAGCCGGCCACGAGATTTGCTTGCCAACGCTAGCAAGCGTAGAACGTGCAGTCGTGCGCTGGCGATTTTCTATCTATTTCACTCGTCCATCGTGTGGATTTCGGTGAACCCCGTGCCCTTGGATGCCCACGTGCTCTGCCAGCGTACACGCTCTCTCACTTGTTTACATTTATTTTACAATTATAAAGGAATACATTCTTTAAACCGTGAATGTGTAGGGTTAGGTCAAACATCCTAATGTAGGACCCTTTGGTTGACATCAATTGGCTTGGAAATTCTCTTCTCTCTGATCAGTCCAACTTTAAGAGATGCCAGTGTAGTGCCTAAACTTTGCTTGAGCCACTGGTGCGGTCAACAAATTGGCCTAGGGAGAAGACAAAGGTGGTCTGGTGCATGTGGTGCTGGCCACACTACCTTGATATATAAGTTTTATATAGCATGTCGGTCATGAAAATTGAACCTCACAAACGCTGTAGAATGTGTCAAGCGCCAATTTTTCGCACGGAGGCGCACGGGAAACCACGTAGTGGGGTGGCAGCCGGAGACCCGTGCTACCAACGAATACCCAAGCTCTGTGGCCCTACACTCGGGATGTTTGGCCAACTCCATGAGTATGTTTTATACACGTGGGAGAAATCCTGGAAGTACCTGGAGAAAACTTCACGAATTTGAGGAGTGGGGGGGAAACGCTCGATTCCTGTACAGATCAAATACAGAGGGAATTTAATCCACTTGTACTGCCACACTGCCAAGCCAGAAAATGGTGACCTCAAACCCCCTTGGGTCAGGAGTTTTAACGAATTTGTGTGAACCCATCAACTCGCGCACCGTACTGACCTCAATAGTTTCTTACAGCACTTGTCCTAACAGCCTATATAGCCCACATGAGAGGATCTTTGCCTTTTGTGCGTAGTGGCGAGTGGTGGCATAGCGGTTGGCGCGCTGCCCTATGAACCCGGCGGCTCGGGTTCGATTCCCTCTCGCCGGTGAATTACAGTGGCGAATATATGAACCGGTCCTGGCCCCACCCCCCCCAGGTCGACTCGGCCTTAAATGAGCAGCTGATGCGGGGTGTGATGCTGCCCACCTCACTCCACCTCCTCTTGTGCCATCCCGGCCTTCGATGGGTGCTCCCTAGCAGCACTTGGACCAAACGGTTTCTGCAAGCTTCACGGGGCGGTGGGGGACCGTTGTCTCTGTGTGCCGAGTAGACGATCCTGTGCGGCATGGGGGAACTGCACATGGAGATTGTGCACGACCGAATCCGCCGCGAGTTTGGCGTCGAGACGGCGCTGGGGCCGCTGCAAGTGGCGTACAGGGAGACCGTCGGCACAGGAGGCACGGCAAGCGGTGAGGCGCTGACGGGATGGCCGCGGTGGTGACGGCCACCACGGATGGCGATTGATCGGCGGCAGGGTGGCGCAGCAATAACACGCTCGTGCCTCGCAGCAAGAAGCGTCTCGGTTCGATTGCTGCCTCGGGCGCCTTTCTGCGCGCAGTTTTGTATGATCTCCGCCGGGTTTGTGTGCGTTCTCTCCTCCTTTTTTCGCATCGGATTCGTCCATGTGTTCTCCGGTTTGCTGCCATTGCCTAAGACGCGCCGTGTCATTGGTGTTGGCCCAACAATCCCAACGCAGGACCCTCCTGAACAAGAGTCTTCAGACTCGTAGTGGCTTTCCCGAGTAAATAAGTTATTATAATCATTGTTCGTAGCCTCGTGCCAATTCACTGCTGGATGAGGGGGCCTATTCCTCGACTGTGGCGAAACAACGTCATGATTATTTTTAACGGGCGATATTGTTTTTAATCCACAAGACTCACTAATTCATTCGCCCGGTGTAACCATCGCAATGTTAAGTGGGTGTATTTACTCCGTATGCCAGTGATTGAACTCCATAGCATACGTATTTTTAATTATTGCAATTCCTACACTCGTTTCCCGTGTAATACTTCACCGAGTCTCAAAACCCTTTCAGAAGCCTCCTGCTGTTGGTGCAGGACGAGGCGACGATTGCTCTGTCTTTCCCAGTTAAGTAATGCGCGAGTAATTTTCTTATAATTTGCCTAAATTGAATCATGACGCCGGCACCCTTAGGCAGGCCTCTCGCTTTTCTCGTCGATGACGTTACGGGATTTCTCACATCCGCTGCGCGTATTTCATTGCTAATTCCCCCCTGAGCATTGTATGTGTACACGTGTATGCACGTTGAACTTCTTTCGCACCGTACGTGCAGCCAACCGTGAAAGAGTAGGTCAAAGTAACCTGTTAGAGGGGGAGCTCTATAGAGGTGGGAGGCTCTGCTGCCAGCAGTGGCCTGAGGAGGAATTTGCAGGTGGGCACCTTCTTCCTTTATGGCCAGCCTCAACAGACTTTTGGAGCAAGCGCTGAAGCACCTACGTATTGCCGGTACGGCACACGACGGGGTGAGTGGCCAGCAACCACGCTCGACCGTCCTTGTCTCCCCATTGGCGATGTTTACTACACACCGCAGCAGGTATTCACTTTGAGATTGTGTCGACTTAAGGGGAAGGGGGGGCCAGGACCGGTGCTATTCGGAAGTCGCGGCATTAACCACGGGCGGCCCTTCCGGAATGTAACCGCCCCGGTTTTTGCCGCCGCTGATGCCGGTTGCAGTCTCCTTGGAGCGCTCGTTCGGGGAGAAGCTGCACCAGGTGGTGGTGGAGCTCGCCGTGGGGCCCTGCCCCCAGGGCTGCGTGACCCCACGGTTCAAGGTCAACGAGAAGGTCGCGCAAGCGATGCACGCTGGGAAGGAGATCATCGACGCGGTGCGGAGCGGTGTGGAGGCCGGCGCGCAGCAAGGTGTGCGTCTCCCTTCATAAAAAAAAAATTGGTGGAAATTCCACATTCCTATGGCAGGGGGCAGTCTGTCCATTGGACAGTCACTATTGACCTCATACTATAATGTGGTGTGCATGTACTGTTTTTCTGTCAATCCACTGCTGGATGAGGGCCTCCCCATGCATTACTGATCGTTGGGGTTTTGTGATAAATACTTCACCGAACTGGTCGGTGTGGATTGATGGAGGATCAACCAATGGGTTTTACTGCGATGCCCTCTGATGCCCATAGCACAGTTTCGCAGCATGAAACACCAGAGCTGTACACGGTAGCCTTGACGAGATTGGGGAGAATTCCAGGCGATTTGGTGAATGACAGAAAATATTTTATGAATGTACAAACTATTTTATGAAAAATAAGAATAGGTTTTACCCCTTTTTGGCACTAAAGCAGGTGTTAAGATGTTGAAACACCAAACAGAAACCTTTTTCAAGGAATCAAGTCAGCATTAACCACACACGTTACTTGTGGTGAACATGCAAACAAACATGCTCTGATGATTATTATATATGGCATTGTCTTTGAAACTTATTGGCCTATACCAGAGACGGCTTTCTTTATGGCCTAATCTCACCGGTGTCTCAGACCAGGGAACACCAAAAGGCGAACACTAGAAAGATAAGGCACTATCAGAGCATTTAGAGCTCGGGGTGAGCGGCTATATCATTGGATCTTTCATTGATACTGTCAAAAAACAAGATCCCATTATAAACTATTATATCACTACCATCGGCTAATGGGGGATGAACTCCGAGGATTGCCAAAGTGGCAATATGGTAATTACCTCGCCTGGTGTACAGGAGGTCGTGGGTTTGATCCCGATCTTGACACCTGTATATTTGGAGTTTGCATGTTCTCTCCGTGATCTCATTTAGAAACATGCATGAAGAGTACCTGGCTGCCATACATTTCCACGTGATAAGCCACATCGTTGATATATCATTTGTGGCCAGGTATCTTCCAAAACGGAGCAATATAGCTCAGTGGGCCTTACCTGGTAAAATAAAAAAAATAGTTGAAAAGAGTTAGCTTTTCCACAGGCCAAATTCGGCGACATTTCTGAGTCAGCGCTAGGTCTGTTATCGAAACCGTGCTGCAGTGTACTGTAATAAAATACTCTTTGGTTTTATTCGGCAAAGTCACGTAGGTAAAATAAAAGAAAACAATTAAATCACGACGTTTCGGAGGCAACACAAGCTTCCGTCTTCAGGTGGAACAGTCACAGCAGAACATCTGTGTCAAGTGCACAGTTCCGAGACGGAAGCTTGTGTTGCCTCCGAAACGTCGCGATTTAATTGTTTTCTTTTATTTTACCTACGTGACTTTGCCGAATAAAACCAAAGAGTATGAATCCTTGCAGTCACGAAAGCTCCAAATCTAGAATTACTGTAATAAGGTTCACCGCGGCAATACCGCTACCCGATCTCCGCACAAATCCACTCTTGCTACCCGAACACGGCTGACACCTCCCCGGGCTGTTTCAGGTCAGAACCCCGGACAGGTGGCAACCCAATGATGAACACGCACGTCCCCCCCCCACCCCTCCTCCTCCTCCGATTGCTCTCCTTGACCGCCGCTCGTACTTGCGCGTGCCGTCCGTGCGCTCGCAGGCCCCGAGCTGGGATTTCCAGTGGTGGACGTCGAGGTGGAACTCGTGTCCGTCTCGCTGCAGCCAGGGTCGTCTCCGGCCGTGGTGGCCGCGTGCGCTTCCACGTGTCTGCACAGGGTGCGTGCACTCGCAGGCGCCCCCGACCCCACCTCTGGCGGCCCGGTTATACATTTTTGTTTGTTTTTCTTGTTTTAATACCCAGGTAAGGCCCACTGGGTCGTACGGCTCCACCGGGCCTTGCCCGTGACGGGGGCTCCCACGATAAAGTCTCTCCTCGCTGCGCCGCCGCAGGCGCTGAAGGAGGCCGGCGTGCAGCTCCTGGAGCCCGTGATGAGCGTCGAGGTGTCGGTGAGCGAGGCGCGACTCGGAGCCGTCCTCTCCGACATGGCCCAGCGGAGGGGCTGCGTGCGCGACGTCCAGAGCCGCCTCGACTCCAAGGTGGTGCTGGCGAGCGTGCCCCTCGCCGAGACCATGGTGAGCGTTTGGCAGTAAGGGGGGGTGGGTGAGTGGGGCGAAGTGGGGGGGGGGGGGGGGCAGGAGGGGGCGGGGGAGCAAGGAGCGCGCGGTGACCGGGGAAAATGTGTGTGTGTGTGTGTGCGCGCGGAGGCAGAAAAATCCCGGCCGGTTCATATTGACGTGCGGGCAGCTCACGATCCACTCGCAGTGCCACCGTTTAGCTTTTCGCGGCCCGACAACCCTTCCCGCGAGAGCGCTGGGTGCGTTCGAAGGCTTGCGCCAATTAGCTTGTCGCACGCCTCTCCTCTGTTTGTTCCGTTTGTGCGAACACGGGACGCATCCTGCACGCACGCACGCTCGCACACGCAGGGCTATGCCACTGCGATCCGCACGCTGACATCCGGGACGGGCACCTTCTCGTTGGAGCTGTCCAGCTACGAGCCGATGACCTCGCAGCACCAGCAGCAGCTGATCCATCGACTCACCGGCCTCTAAGACCTCCTCCTCCTCCCGTGTCTGCCGGTGCACGGGAGATTTCAAGGCGCGCGCAGGACAAGAGCTTGCGTTATACACGGCGTCCGTGAAATTGTGGGGAGTGGTGGCGCGGTGGTTGGCGCGCTGCGCCTATGAATCCAGCGACATCGAGTTGGGTTCCCACTCACGGCCAACACCGGTGACGATAATCTGAACCGGTCCTGTGCCCTCCCCTAAGTCGACTCAGTCTCCACTGAGTACCTGGTGCGGTGTTTACACATCATTACTGGGAAGATAAAGACGGTCGGGCGTGGTGCTGGCCACTCAACCCCTCTTGTGCTGCACCGGCATTCATAGGTGCTCACTGACAGCACTTGCCCCAAAAGTGTGTTGAGGCTATCTTTGTCTTATCCGTAAAGGCAAAGGCGCCACCCTGCAATTTCCTTCTCATGCCACTTCTGGTGGAAGGGGCCTCCGCTAGACGGAGCCTCTATGGAGCCCCCTCCAACAGGTTACTTTGGCCTACTCTTCCAAGGTGACCAGACGTATCGGCAGAGGTGGGAGTTCCCACACTTTACCCCCACCACTCCGGGGACCTGCCAATTGGCTCAAGACAAACTGCTGTCAGGGCGTATGCACAAGTTGCAGTTGATTTAGTGTTTAACCGGGTGAGAGAACTTAAAGAGATACTATATATGTGTGAAGGGCCTTTGTTCAAGTCCACTGCTGGATGGGGGAGCTCTCCATGCCACACTGGTCGTGGGGATTATTTGGCCGTACTTCACGCTGGTCAGCGCAGGCTGGTGAAGACGGGGACCATAAATGTGGAAGCGTAGAAGTGCGGCACAACGATGGATTTTGCTGCGCTACCACCTGCCGCCCCCGTCGGCGTATCTCCGCAGTCTCATGGCGCCCTGTTTGTGCACGAGGGCCACCAATGAGAGTACCGTCCAGGCCCAAGCCTGCTTTGCTTCCGAGATCTAATGGTGCTCTTCCGAGATCCGATGGTATCTGGCACATTCTGGATGACAATAAAAATGAATTTTATTCATATAGCGCTTTTCCCCACGCTGAAATCACTGAACAGTAAAAAAAAAGTATTCAATACTATAACAAAAAAAACTATGACGTGAAAAAAACCCGGCATTATGTATACAACATAAAAGCAGCATAGAAAGCATTCAAGGGACGGAATACACGAGGCGGTAGAGTGGAGGAGGACCTTTTGAGCAGATGAGTTTACAAATGAGGTTCGAAGGTGGCGATTGACTCGGCGGATCTCATCTCAATGGGCAGCGCGTGCCATAGCCTCGGGGCAGCGGAGGAGAAAGGCCCCTTATCACCCATGGAGCGGAGGTTGGTGGGAGACGGGGGTTTAATTTTTGATTTAAAGCTTTCGTGACTGCGGTGATTCATGTTCTTGGTTCTTTCGGGCCCTGGCCGGGGTGTCACGGTGAAGGAATTGTCGGATGGTTTGTTGATCGGCGCAGTGCAACAAACTTTGTACTGTGGGATTGTGGTTAATAAAAAAAAAACATGTCGACAAACATTGGTGTATTTTCTTCACTTAAAGATAAAATAACACTTGCGTTACTCGGCCTGTGTTTGCCGTTGGAAATGATCTGATAACGCTGCGTTGGCAGTGGGTGCGCAGGTACAAACAAACAAAATAACTCGACACATTCGTCAATAACACTGGCCTTTAAAGGAACAAAAATCATGATATAATAAAAATAGGTACCAGAGCACATGCTTTGAACAAGAGCCGTTTCCCAAAAACGTTAATATTATTGACGAATGTGTTCAGTGTCCAATGCAGAAACGCGCCGTTTCACAAGCATGCTGTTTTATTTAAAGTCATCCGTTATGGGTTCGATTACGAAGTAGATAACACGAAAATAGTTGGAGATGCTAAGTGTCGGGATTTGTTCCCACGTGTGCCACTGAACGCGAGGCTTCTGTGACATCATCGGCATCATGAACCGCGTCACGGTGGTAGGCGTGGCTCGTGAGGGGTTTCCTGCCTTCTGAAGGAGGAGTGTCGCTGAGGCTCTCCAGGGTAAATAATTGGCATTGTCAATTGACGCGCGAAGTGAAATATGCCCGAATCAGACATCGATTTGAGCTGTAGCCTAATGTGTTTTTTTACTTGCTGTGCTCCCACACCTCGTCCATAGCCACGAACAACAACATCTGGAAATCACAAACCTCTGCAACAAACGCTGGATGTACGCCTGCTCGGATGGCCATGGTCCACCGCCATGTATCATTAACAAGCCAAACGGAGGCTGGGATTTTACTGCTCAGATGAGAATTGTGACGGCGCTCGCCTCCTGTCAGCAGTCCTCAGGGGAGCTCGAGTTAAGGCTATCCTGGCCAGAACCTCAAATGTGTACACACACACACATGGCGAGTCCTCACTTAATGCGTAGTTGTTCACACGGTAACGCGTTTATCGATATCACGAGGTTCTTAAGTGGACAATTCGCACAACGCAGAACGCTCGCCATTATAACGTGGAACGCTCACCATTATAACGTGGAACGCTGTCCGCTATAACGCGGAACGCGCGCCGGTTATAAAGCGGAATGCTCGCCGTTATAGCGACGCACTACTATCTCGACGACGAACCACTCCATCTCACTGTGTGCGTCTGTAGTATCTCGCCAAACGCAATCGTTCGGTTGTTCATGGAGAAATTGTTTACGCTCAACGTGAATCCCGCGAAACGCGGCACCGCTCGGGATCGCATCTCGCGCGTTCAACGAGGGACCGTGAAGAGCGATTAGACCCAACAACCGCCTGCTGGTGGTCACTCGGTTGCATTGCTCCGGCAGGTGGCGTTTACAACGAATACATTGCACGTCCTGTGTCCACGGAGATGACCAAGGTTGCGTAACGGGCACGGTTGGTTAGTGCCCTGCTCTGAACCTAGCCGCTGGACCTCGATTCCTGGCCACTGCTGAGGTTCAGTATCCGAACCTGTATTTGGCCTTCTCCTCCTCAACCAACACGCACCCGCCGACGTGGTGCGGTATGGTCAGACAACGGCCACGGTTATTATAATAATAATGGTGGTGGTGGTGGTCAAAGTTACCCCACGTAGTGCTGTCGCGACCAATGTCATCCATAATAGAGGCTTTAGTGGTTAGATCGCGCACAAATTAATGCAAGGCCGTAGACATGGAGTCAGCATTGGAGGGGGGGGGGGGGGGACCAAATCTTCCAGGGAGTCTGGGGTCCCCACCCCAGAAAAAAAAAAAAAATCTAAATTTAAAAACTCATTTCCTACCATTTCCTGCCTAAAATATATAAAAAAAAAATCACGAACACATGGGATGGACTTTTAATTTTTTACAATAATGTCTAATATTGTATTGTAGTACATTGATGTGTTTTTCTTTATTTTACCTTTTATTGTTTCATTGTATCTAATGGCAGAGATTACGGATTAATAAAGTACAACCATAACCACAATCATATAAACAGAAATCTATGCATTTATTTATATGAAGACAAGTCCAGATATTGTGGCCAAGGTTTAGCAAATTATTCTTTTTATTTTTGTAGCATCGCAATTATTATTTTTAAAATATTTGTATAGCAATATATGGGGGGGGGGGGACATTATAATTACGGCCTTGAATTAATGCCACGGGGAGGATTTCTCCACAACTCTGGCTTGTCGCCTGATGGTGCCAGTTGTGATTACTGGCGAAACGTCGCGGTAATCCAATTGGTAAATGTTGCAGTGGATTTTTACTCTCCAACACACAACCGGTTCGTGCTGTACGAGCAACGACTTGGGACGCTTTGTTCACGTGACAAACCTTACTAATTGCCTGCGTCGGGTGATGGCGGGGGGTACAACGACACAACATTAATATTTACGCGTCATATATATACACACCCACCCCCGCCCGCTCGCTCGCTCGCCTCCACCGAAAAAAAAAACCCACCTCTATTATGGACAATAATAACGAGGGCGTGGGCCGCTCCCTCGCTGCCGACTCCCGCTCCATGCGAGACGCGAGGAGCGGTGTGAGCGCAGCTCGGCACAGCTGCAAGGGGGGGCAATTCGCGTGTGATCGACTTATCTGGGTCAGCCTATTACGATGAATAATGCAAGAGGCCGCTCCGTCGAGATACTGCGAGTCCCCCATGAACCCCCGGCGCTGTATTTAAAGCGATAAGTGGAGGAAGCGTAACGCCGAGCAGATAGGAGATGGCTATTAGTTTTATTAAACACTGCTTATTATTTTCATCGCGCGCGCGTGCGCGCGTGCGTGCGTGCGTGTCTCTTCTTCTCTCTTTCTCTTTGTCATGTATTGATGATTTGGTGCGAGCGACGCGAATTGACGGCGCTCATTTTTTTGTTGTTGTTGTTGTTTACAGCGCACGTGAAGAAGCGACGTGAAAATTGTTGCGCGATTTGATTCCCGTTGCGGTGGCTCCGATCTTTGCCGAGTGGCGAGCGGTGGTCACTGGGGTTGGGGGGGGGTGGGGGTACGGAGACCGAACGGAATTATTCAATTTAATTTAAATTTCTCTGCGATGATAATTTTTTTCTCGTCGCGTGTATTTATCGCCTTTCTCGTTATTTACGCGTGTGTGGGGTTTTGTTTGTGTATCGTCTGTGTAAGAGACCGGCTAATTGATGGGCAGCATTGTGGGATACAATTGCATGAATGACGCTCCAAAACATGACATTATTACTAGCTAGTACACTAACTAGTACACTCACTCACTAGTACATTCACTCACTAGTACACTAACTAGTACACTAACTAGTACACTCACTCACTAGCACACTCACTAGTAGAGACACTCATAGAGACAGAGCGCCTTTATTACCTGTGGGTAACTCACTAATTAGTACACTAACTAGCACACTCACTAGTACATTTACTAACTAGTACACTAACTAGTACACTCACGAGAACACTCACTAATTATATATTTTGTGTCGTTATTTATGTATTCATCTTTTATTTTGTTGATTTGCTAAGTAAGTAGTGGGCTGTATTATCTATGTAAGAGACCGGCTAATTGAAATGCAGCGTTGTGCAATGCAATTGAATGAATGGCGCTCTGTAAAATTATTTTATTATTATTATTATTACCGTATTAATTCCCTGGCGATTTCTATGATATTTGTCACAACGCGATAAATATTTTTTGTTTTTGTCCTTTGCAGTGTTTCTTGACACGTCCCCCTGTCAAGGTAGTTGTGCCCGTGCCATCTAAGCCTAAATGTAACATTACTATCCGCAGCAATTGTAAAATAACTCGACTTGAGCGAGCCTGTTTTGGCAGTTGAATCGGTGACCACAGGGGGCTGGCTCGGTGTTGTTAGCTGTGATGTTACAAAGTGGACAGGAAATGGCAGGACTGAGTGTTCCTCCTCCCGAGGGTTTCCTCGGATTTCTCCCGTGAGAAGCCGAACATTCATTGGTAACATATTTGCCAAACGTTCGAAATGCTGGAGCCTCCTCAAAGTCCTGAGACTCCGCAAAGGATTTTCTGAACAAAAAATTGAATCATCATCGGCATCAGCATTGATTAATCACTGCTGGATAAAAGGCGACCGGAAACCGTTCAAATAGAATTATCTGCGTATATATGAATATTGGAAAGCCTGACTCAGTCCCAAGGCTCACTCTTCAGGAGGTTTTCCTGCATTTGGGGATGTTTGGCCGACACAAGTCAGAGTTACATTGCATGTTTTTAAAAAAAAAATACTTTTGAGGTTAGCATCGAACCCCAGAACTTTCTTACACAAGCGGTGTTCACTGCACAAGCGGTCACCACTGCACAAGCGGTGTTCACTGCACAAGCGGTCACCACTGCACAAGCGGTCAGTTCAGTTCAGTTTCATTCATTTGGTATAGCCCTGTGAGCCATTCGGCTCTTGAATCGGGTGCAACCGCAACAAACAAAAACACGAACAAGAAAACATCTTAAAGTGACTACGCGCAAACAGAAAAATCCAGGAAAAAACAGCAAAAGTCTTCCAGAAAAAGCACCGAATATCAATGCTGCGTGCAAAAGTCCCAGTGGGATGCAAGTCAAACAATAACAACCATAAGACAACTCAGATTAAAGTTATCAGTCTAACTCTGCACTACAACAAACAAATATAGCTAAACCAAAACGTTTTCGAAATCACCAAAATAAAGCTATACCATCTTCTTTGGTCCTTTCGGTAAAGTCACGTAGAATGAGAAAAAAATAATAAATTTATAAAATGAAATAACACAATAATATTCTCTCTACCAGACAGTCTCGTCCTTTCACCTTGATGAAGGCCGCTTGTGTTGTGGCCGAAACGTCGTGAGAATATTATTGTGTTATTTTATTTTATCAATTTATTATTTTATTCTCATTCTACGTGACGTTTCCGAAAGAACCAAAGAAGATGAATCCTTGCAGTCACGAAAGCTTTAAATCGAAAGCTATACCACTTGCGGTTACCACTGCACCACTCTGCCGCCAAGGTAAGAATGCACACAACAACAAAAAAAATATATATATTAAAAAAACATTA